AAGTGGAGTTTTTGTACATTAAATTAAGCTGATGATTTACAAAACATTATTTTTAAATGCCCAGTCTTTCCCATAATGTATTCGACAGGTAAGCTGAAACTTATATATATATACAGTCATAGTGTCTGTCTAATTAACTTTTTTAAAACTTAAAAGATTTTGATTTGTATTTTTTTTTCATATGAAATGTAAGAGATTAACAAGCTCTTGTACTGGTATGCATAAGTAATAAGTCGCACGTACGTTTAATATATTGCGCAATTCACGTCACAGAGACAAGAGATCTGATACATTACTACATATACGTTTTATATGCATTATCATAATTATATCTAAGCTAAGCCTATATAGCCATTGTGTAATTTTTAATAAGTATAATAAGAGGAAGTTTAGATTGATAAATTAACTTGGAAAGATTTTCCAATTTGCTCATTACCTCTTAATACAGTATTCAAGCTTATATTTCACTAGATTACTTATTAATATCAATACACGCAATGCAGACGGTTCAATGAATGATTTAACATTAATTCATCCTTAGCTTGATCAAGGCAGTGAAGTAAATTGCTTGTGTCAGTCTTATCCAACATTTTCAAGACACACAAGGCTTATGCAAATTTTAACCTCCTTCACTTTTCCTTTGTTTTTCTTATATTGTATACATCTACACAACGTCAATTATTTCGACTGCAAGGCATGAACAGAAGTCCACCAAATTGGTGTTTTTCAATCCGTCCAAATTTCGTATCCTTTAACCAGATATGTAGATGGTTCTTAAGCATGCGGCTTTCCTAAGATGTTATTCATAATTATTATTATAAAGTATTTCATTATTGATGTATTTGTGAGCTTTTCTTACAACTGAAGTGTATTTGCAGTTCTGCCGCGACGTGGCCAGCTTCACCCACAAGCGGGACTATGCGACGTTCGCTCGCACCCGGCCATCCGACATCGACATCTCGCGTGCTGTTGTTGCAGCCCTCACGCACTTCCAATTCATGCATGTAAAACATTTTATTAAACATCTTTATTAGACCATTAACAGACTCACTTAGATACCGTTTCATAACTGTGAATGAAGCAGTGAACGAACTGCGTGAATGATCAGGCTCATCATTTCCTGTTACATTTAACGTGTTTGTCAATATATTATAATAATTTGTGTAATTTTTGCAGATTTGTGTGGTGTACCTATGTGCGCCGAACCACGACTACACTCGGCTAGCAAAGGCTATCATAAAGGCAGCTAAGGATAGGCAGATAACAGTACTATCGGCCAGAGCTTACAATCAGCCGTACTTCTATGAAAATATAAAAGAAAATGTGACCCGAAATCCTTTCATAGACGTAGTTAGAGAAACATACAAAACCACAAGAAGTAAGTGACGCAAATAAGTTACTTTAAACGAGAAAAAAAGGTTAACATTCTTTTTAATGTTGGCATAATCTTCACAAGCAGTTAATATTGAAAGTTCAGAACAACTTTCGTTAACATCATTTTGCAATTAGTTTAAATTAATAAATTATATTAAAACTGATAGTTAACCTTTCAATTGAGGAAGAGATTGCTGCATTTCGGTGTTGTAGTAAATATACATCTTAAAGCTACTTTTCGTAAAAAGAACCAGTTTTAATTTTTTTGTTAATGATGTTTTTTTTTGGTAATAAAGGTTAATTGGTTAAAAAATTTTACAGTTTAATTTATAAAATAACTTTTGATCAATAATGTCTTAATTAATAAAGTATATTTCTTATATGATTCAAGAACACATAATTTTTTCAGTTTACGTGTCCGTGGGTCTCTACCACGATCACATTGGACTCATGCTGGCTCTGGACTCTTTTAAATTACTGGATTCAGGTGAGTAAAGTATTTTAACTCTATCTCTAAAATGCTCTTTAGTTTTTTTGCTTTTAATCTTGATTAAAAACAAATGACAAGCGGTTAGAATATTTTTTAGATGTAAATGCATACTAAATAATATTCCCTACTTCATATTTGTAAAAGACTAGACTATATTTGATCGAAAAGTCGTACCTTTATGTCAACAGGTTATAAAATAAAGGCATTTAAAGTGCGACAAACAATAGCAGATGGTGTTATGAATGAAAAGTAGTGCATATCCGAAGCAATACAGTGCGATGAATTGTTGATATACAATACGGTCTTACGAAATACCATGTGATATATTATATGCCGGGGATGAACATGCTGTGAATTGTAACACTGCTGTATTTTTCACATTGTAAATATTTATAACTAGCTTTCGCCCGCCACTCCGTCCGCGTGGAATTTAAAACAAACAAACAAACTCTAACAAACATCCATCCATCCATCTAGTCTTTCGCTTCTATAATATAAATAAGATAGTAAGATTGAATATGGCTATAAAAATATTTTATTAAAAGTGTTACAAAATCATTTATGGATGACTAACTTTTGTAAATCCGGTGGCGATTGAAGAATGCACATTCAGGATGCGTTTTATTATGTACAAAATTATATCTCATAATATACTGTCAGATTCGACCTGTTTTAACTTTTTGATACAAAATATACAAATATTTTGTACTTTTTTATTCAGGGATTCTGTCTCAGTTTTTTTTAATATGAATATATTTTTGTAATCAATATTATATGTAAAACGTTCAGGGTAAGAATAGGAATGTACCTACCACTTATGCGTTAATAAATTATACAGTTAACGTTGCGTATTTTAAAATACGCAATGCTGATGTTAAATCTTTAAATCTCCTTAATCAGTCAAATCTTACACTGTCTAAATCTATTTAAACACAAACAATGATAATGTTATCCTTTTATATCCGAGACCTTGAATATCTTGTAGAGTGCAAAGACATGACAATAAAAAACAATTATGCAGAGGTTTTAAAAATAATTGGTTAACCTATTTCTAATTTAAATAAGCTAAACCATCCGGTAGCCAAGATCTTTTCCAATAAAACCATAGACGACGATTCCGGGAAAATACTATTTGACGCTCATAAATTAGTTATGCATAAATACTTACGAATGATGAAATTTATGGTTACACTATACTGATGTTCGATCCAATGTGCAAAGCCAATTTATTTCCATACCTTTAATTAACCATAAAGTATGGCTACCAAGCTTACATAGTGATATAAAGTAGACTGTTGACAGGCGAGTACGCGGCAATCGGCGTGGATGTGGACAAATACGAAGTTGAAGAAGCAACCCGCTATCTATCAGGGCCTTTACGTAACGAACCCTCTTCAAGAACTCTTCATGCGTTTCGTTCATACCTCGCCGTGGCACCGTCCCCATCGCCGTCGTACCCAGTTTTCGCGAGGGAAGTTAATACTAGACTCCAACTGCCACCGTTCAATTTCACCAATCCATTACTCAAGTTAGGAGGTGGGAAAGTGGTAAGTTTTCTTAACACAGTATATAGTATCTTAGATTATTTAATTACAAACAAGATAATTTCTGATATAATTTTATAAACTCTTAAAAAATCGCAAACGACGCTGTTTTGATTGTAATAAAAAGGGACGTTATATTTTGAAGCGAAACATGTTTATAAGATTAAAAAAGGTCTAAGTATGTAAAAAGCAATATTGGCAATACGCTCGCAACTAGCCGATACGTATGCGCATAATCACATTCTTTGTACGTCCTCTTTGTTCAACAACCGCTTGTAGCGTAATGTTATCCGCCATATTACAACACTACTTGTTTTCTTAAAGTTTTTACAGATCTATAGAATTTTTCTTTGATTTGTGTTTTGCAAAAATCTTATCTTTGGCAAATCTATGCTTAATATAAGAAAAACATGGTCTTTTGCCTACAACTATGTATTTATGACGAAAATGTTTACCAAACTCTTTTTAATGAAACTAAAAGTCGTACGCTGCATAAAACTGCAGTAATTCGTACTTTACATATTCTGCTCGCTTGCACTTTTTTAGATAAAACTCCACTAGTTTTTGCATCCTACTATTTTTGCATCTATGTTCTAACCGTATTTTCGTTGTTGTAAAACTTATATGGTTAGGGATGAACTATTAACGAACATTTTCATTTAAGTAGAAACGTTCTTTTCAACACGTTCAGTGCGCAGTATATCTTATATTATTGAAATAAATGTGATAACAACAGATCCGCGTAGAAGCAGCGTGGCTCCATGACGCGGTGTGGGTATACGCGCGGGCACTCGCCACCGCTCTCAGCATAGGAGAAGACCCGCGCGACGGCAGGGCTCTGGTTCAGTACATCAGGAACACCACTTATCGCAGCGTCATGGGGTAAGTTGATCCATGTCCTATTTACCTGTAAAATTATCTGTAGAAACTATTTTTAGTTACAAACACTTTATTAGAATGCTCGAGAACAAAGGTTTTTCGACAGAAATGTCTGGAATGAATACAAAAGTAACAATGTTTCTGTTTACTTAATCTTGTCTAATACTTGGATTCACCGAATCGTGAAATTAGCTAAATCAGATAATCTTTGGACCGGAACAATAAGACCAGTTAGTTTAATATCGTAGGTTATGACGCTATCTGCTCGAAGGACCAATAAAAAGAAATTGTAGACGGTGTTGGATATAAACACAACTTGTGAACTATCGCAATTGTCTCAGTGTTGCTACGTAATACGTGTACTTTGTAATTGTGTATGCTGACTGCGTACAATAAAACTATGCTACGAACACATTTTGGACATTGCTCCGTCGTACTTGTGATGCAGCCGGCATGCAAAATTGTTTAAAAAAAAGTCTTCCGGGCATTGTCCGCGCCGCGTGCTATTTCTCCAGACGTTACACTAATAGCTTTTATAGTTATTCTGTTCTATTATTAACTATCTGATGTCAGTGGATATGTTACGATTTTTCTGGAACTAAACAAAACTTTTTTTTTTGAGAGAAAATTCCTTTAACTTTGCGACACTAAGGAACATTATACTACTGAACAAAATAAAGGCGAAAAACAACGTAAACATCAACTGTATCCTTTATTTCTAGTTAAACATTCACTTATATTACTAAAACGAAATAACCCATAATTCATATTTGTTTAACCAAACTTCTGTGTATGAAATTTACGACATATCCCATTGTAACCACAACTTCAATAGATGTTCTTTGTCTTTTATCGCCGACGGGCTTTGTGTCACAAACTTTGTTACATACGGTCTTGTTTATTCTAACTGATCCAAAATTAGACTGACAGCACTTTATACTGTTTATATTCTTATACAAATGTACATTTCTGAATCATATTATATTTAAATTAAGAAATAACATATATTTTACAAACACATCTGCAATCATTTATTATCTATCTAAGCATAACAAAATGTGATACTTTGCAGTTCCACTTATGATATTGTTATGCTTTTTGTAAAGGCAGTCCCGCATAGTGTAGTTGGAACTTTACCTAAATCTTCATTTATTTTGTTGGTTAGATATTGGGTGCATATGGATGAGAACGGTGACGCGGAGGGTAACTACACTTTGTTATCAATGGACCCCGACAGACCTCCAGGACTCTACCCGCTTGCAGTCATGCACAAGAACGCACCGGTAATTATATAAATATTGTTTTTTAATTTGTAGCTTCAATTATAGTACAAGGGAATACAATAAATATAAACTTAATTTAAGCTTTTATAGTAATCTCTCGGAGAACGGGACACACTATGGGTCGCTAAACCAGCGTAGTATGTGTAGATTTAATAAACAAATTCGAGATCTTTCTAGAAAATTTTGTGATTTAAAATATGCATTTTATATTTTGCATACAGTGTTTTTCTTTTAAACGCCGTACTTTCCGTACTGTATTTTGGTATACAAATGCGAATTTGGGAACAAAGGCAATGAAAATCTAAACACAGTTGCATCAACTCGACTCGCATCAATATTTACGAAGTTAACGCCAACTTTATATGAGTTTATCCTCTTAACAGATCAGTCGTAGATGTTGCAAATATTTACTAATTTATAAATAAACCAAACACAATCCTGCTGCAGTGGCTCAGTCGTGTATCCAATCTGGCATTAATTTAAATACCTCTACAAAATATTTCACTTGAATTATTCGGCCTAGCTGTCAACTAACTGCCAAGAAAATTGACTCGTTATTTGTAAATAACGATAACATTCCCTATTTACGTAACAAAATATAGATGTCAACGCGATACATTAATTATAATTTATTTTGTGGGACATCTTATTTACATTCGAAGATGAAAAAATGAGTTTGTATAAATTGTCATACAAAGAGAGTTTGGAAACAAATTGCTTGTTATATTTAAAACATCACAGCATTTCTCTAGATATTCAAATATCGTGTCCGAAACGTACCGAAATCTAATATTAGTTTTAATAATAAAATAGACGGAAAACTTTTAAAGAGGGTAACATTCCTTTCTAGAAAATTCTTTGAATTTCAAATATAGAATGGGGTTCCTCTTACCCAGTGGGTATACATTGAAAAAAGTTCAAAAGAACTCATTCATTTTATTAAACTAAAATTGGTTTAATTAATTTATTGATTAATTTTAATAAATACTGCAATATTTATTTGAAAACAACACTTTATTAAGAAAATAGAAGTAGACGGTAACACTGTTTTAGAGTAATTGTTATTTGTTTCTACTGTGTTTATACAAAACTCTGATAGAAAATGTTGGTTAAATAAATATTTTTTTTACATTTCCACATGTCAATATTTACTATTTACACAATTGTGTACAGGAATTGAGATTCATGCGGGAAATGAGATGGCCGGGCGGCCGGGTGCCTCTCTCGGAGCCGCCGTGCGGGTTTAAGGGAGAAAAGTGCGTCAGTAAGTATAACATTATTATGTTAATACACATCAAGGGTACGCGCAAAATACCCACAGCGATCGTGAGTGGCGTTTTCGCTTTAGCCTTAATAGCTTACATGTGCGGTCCATTACTTAAGGTCGGTGATTTTGTTCGCTGTTGTGGTAAAAAACTAATAGTGTGCAGTCGGGGTCGACATTAACCGCAAGGCCGAGTGGAGAGGGTCGTGTGGACGTCATGAGGGCATCGCACGCGACTCCCGCGGCGCTCTACACCACACAAGAGTTACGTTTCAGACTACACTTAGCTTTCTCTTTACTACTAATCGTAAAACAAGCTCGCAGTTGTCTTTTTACATTGAGATATATTCTTTTAAAAGGGACATTTCTTTACATTCTGTTCCTTAGGGGATTGCTTACAATCCTTATTTATTTTACAGAAGTACTTTTAAAACACTAAGTTTTAAAAGAAACATACTTTGAAAAACAGGAGGATAAATATACAAGATTCCATAGTGTGTTACCAAGTCAGTATAAATGAGAAGGCTTCTCAAAGTTATTTTACGAATTAAATAGTCGGAATATAGTTTTTATTCGGACTATGGTTTATTAATTTAATCCATATTTGGAAAACTTAGTTTAACTAAGACTAAAAATAAGTAATGACGTAAATCTGTTAACATTGCATATTATGCTGTAAAAAAATCTATTACATTATGTCTTTTAACGTTACATCTGACAAATTGTAAAATCTTGAAAGGGTGAGCGTGTCGTTTGATGGCAGAATTTACGATACTATAAAATGTACAGCACGGCTTTATAATTTTTGATGTCCGTTGATATCATCATGGATAGGTACTCGTAAAATTTTAATAAAGTTGACAAGTTTTCTACATGGAAGAGGAATAACTACATTAGTGATTAAAAAAACAAAACTTTTCGATTTTAAAATTGAATTAACTAGTTACTATTTGCTAGTTACTAGTCTGTTAAAAATAAGAACTAAATATAAAACGAAATCGGATTTACCGAAGAAATATTTTAATAAAATTTTCTATCCTCCTATTTATTTTTTGTTATGATTTGTTTTAGTGAACTATTGCGACAAAATTTATTGCAACATGAATTACGTTTTAGCTACCGCTTTGTGTTGTGATATTTTTTAATTATTAGAATTACAATTTAAATTCGAAAAGTAGGTCATGACATATTAAGTTTTATACCATTTTCTTTGATATGTGGCTACATGTCGCAATAAAATATCTTAATTTAATATCAAACACAAATCTCGGATAATAACTTCGGATGGAATTATGTCATTGTTTTCATTTGTCACGTTAAGGATAACTTTTAACTAGATGTCTTTAAGTTAGCTCTTTTTAGAATTTAAATTTAATTTACGAAAATAAAACTATTTCTTTTTATCTAAATTATAAAATCTTATTTCTTATTGATTTTATTTGGTAAATTAGCACCTAATATCTGTATAAAAGTTAGTGGCTAAAAATCTATAAATAAATAACGTATTATAGTATTTTATTATTCCCGAGGGGGAATTCTTTCGGAAATACCAAAATAAATTGTATCGATGTTTCAGATTGAATTAGACCAAATCTAATTCAATTTATTCGCAAAAAGATTTAGGCATTCGTGCTCACCGCTCGAAAACACGCTTTCTACATCGTGAAGTTACGGGATCACATTTCTTACACAAAGTCTATTTTACTACATAATTAACATAGCAAATAAATAGTATTCTTTGATAGCCACTTAACCTTAACATTTGTAAAAAAAACTTCTCGATTGATATTAACATTGTTTCGTCTATTAATTTTATTTTGCAAGAATTTGAAAATCTAAAGTTCCATAAGTTTATATTTTAACATTATATGTCTTATTTGAAAGTAAGGAAAATTATACGGATTTTCAGTTTGAAAAGAAGGGATTACGGGCTCCGAATGCTTTGTAACCCTCCGTCTATTTAATGCTTCAACTGTCCGCAAACATTCTTTGTATTGTGCTCTTATGAAAAACCACTGATATGTGATAAGAATATAAGCTAAAATTGAAACGAAATATTTCTTATCGTCAAATTCCACAACTAACAGACAGTAGTAGTATTATTGTCTGTACATAAGAGAAAAGTTTTAGGTTATGAAATTTAAAAACCTTTACTTATTTTCATAAAAATCACAATTGAGCCGTTGACTCTAAAGGAGTGATGTATCTACACCAAAAATATTTTCTATTATATCATAAACTGTTTTTATAGCTTCCAATATGTCTATCAATCCCTTTTATAGACTTTATTAGGGCTGTAGGTCCCCATAAAAGGGGCACAAATCTCAATTTTTACGGATTCAATAAATACAGTCAATTTTAGACAAAGAATAAAAGGTATCCTAAAAGTAAACTTGATAGGATTTCACTATACAACTACAACAGATAGGTTTGCTTTTTGCATTACCAACGCACTGGGCGAGACTTCTACGACGCCCAAACTGCAATACAAATTCATACCTATTTAATTTATTTATTTTGTAAAAGAGTATATAAAGCGAAAAAGCATTGAAACGGGTAAACGTTATCTGTGCTCTTCTAATTGAATGACCGTCTCATGTGTTTAGACATACCCGTGGTTGTAATTTATTTGTCTTATCTAGCGGCTCTATGTCCACGGACCGACGACCGCTGTCTCATAGATAATAAGGTTATTCAATTAATTTTGTGGAACGGCTCAATCCAGTCATCGTAACCTCTCACTCGTCTTGCTCGTAAACATTTTTATTAACTGTATAAAATATGCAGTTAATAAACTGGAGATTCGTTTATAATTTTGTTGAGGTTATAATATGCTTTGTATTTTTAACCATAGAATATTTATCTATTTGTCAAGTCGTTATTAACAAATAAAAATAATTACTATAATTATTGAATTTTGACTGTTGAGTAATTCTATATAATTGGTTCACATTTGGATAATACTTAGTCAGTTTTTTGTCAAAGTTGTTTGTCAAACAACGATCGAATTTATTCTAATTACTGCAATAGTTATTTATTACTGTTACACTTTGGAAACTGGACGGATCTTAATAGCTCGCCCAGAGTTAATCAAGTTCTGTTTGAGTTACAAACTCTTACTAAAGTCCAAGCTTAAGCCTTCGATTGAATCTACTCGGGCGCGCATTTATGACAGCAAACGATTAGGAAAGTTTAAGGCTGCAATTTATGTTTTATGCTGTTTGGAGTAATATAAAACAATGAAACCAACTTCGGAAACCTTCTAAAGGATCAATAGAAGTCCTCTAAGGATTTAATTCATTTAAGTTTCGTGTAATTGTAACGTTTGTTATGTCGCAGGTCACGTGGGTGCTTGGGCATTAGGTGCATCTGGAGGTACTCTAGCGTTGCTGGCGTTAGCTGCACTAGCG